GCCATTTCTTCCATTCACTTTTCTTGCCTATATGGAGCACCGCCGTCCTTCATACGGCATACATTTTTACATCTTAGAAGGGAAGTTTATATAGCGTTCCACATCTTTGTGACGTCAAAGGAGTCGTTGGAGGGGATTTTGGATAGCACGAAGGACTCTATTAGAAGTATGATGGATTTATTTATATGACTGATATGAAGAGTATGAAGAACCGGTATTCAGCAGAACTAACACACACATTTCATGTCATTCACGGACACGTAATCACAACAGTTGGCAAGCAATGTACAATCTACACCTTTTGTTAGCTCATATTCACACGTATAATACTGGATATACCTTTACCTTTTAAAGGTATATAAATGTACCTTTTTTCTCAGTAGAACCGATCGGTTCATGCAAAAAGATTTCTCAGAAATTCATTTACCATCTCTAGCGGTCGGACCTACTTCGGATCTCCGACACGGTCAATTATAGTTTTGAATTTATGCTATTCCAATCGATGAATTAATGTCTTTATATGACTAGAATCAACGAAGAGTTATCTGCAATAGCATAATACCGGCTGTGTTTCTTCGATCCACCCATACAGTCCATAAAACAAATATCCGCATCATGTCGTCTACGCAGGAAATACGTACAGGGGGCCCAGGGGCCAGCCCAACGTCATTCTTATAACCCATATATTGTTACACTCATCGTTGCCTCATATATCTCGATATGCTTCACGAGAATTGTACATATGATACCGTCTGCGTTTGTCCAAATTCACAAATGCTGTCTATGTAATTACCTTAATCGTTTGCAAGATTTTCAAATATCGCCTTAGCGCTTCTCTTAACTGTTGTGATTACAACAATGTCACAACTCACGACAGTTGTGATACTGCGTGGCAAAACGCAATTTTCATAGAAACTCTATTTGGAAAATTTCTCTCTACACAGCATGGAAGGTCATTGTTGCAGCGGTATTCCTTTTCCTCATCTTTCGGGATAAATTTTCCATCCGTTGTTACAGTCCCTCTCGCACAGGATTTTTTATTAGCACATTGGACTCTCCTGTTAATAGAAAAAAGGAGGAAAAAACTGTGTAACTCATTGAAAGTCTATTCATTGGGCAGAAAAAACTTCACGAGGGCAACGACATCAACTCGGAGTGGTCTTTATCCGTGCAATGCCAATTCCATCGAAAACCTTCAATAATGCGAACTTTGTGTCAGATGATCCTGTTCCTTTCGTTTGTAGTCTAAGTGTCTGATTCCTCATCTTCGTACGCACTGGAATTTTCTTCATGAATATATGGAATATCCATTACGGATCAGAAAACTGAAACGATCACTTTTTCGCTCTTTTCTTTTGGTTTTCCCGGTGCCATGCTCTGACGAGGCACTAAGTTGAAGCCCTTCCCCTGCCCCCTATCCGAGATCGGAAGCTCAAATACCTCCCAGGGAAACGCACCCAGGATAAAGCACCCAGGAAGCAGTGAGATGAAGTGAGAAATTCTCGGAATGCGAGGAAATCTCAAGAGGAAGAGCAGGATAGTGAGAAATTACTGCCAGCGAAAGGGAAGGTGATGCAAGAGAAAAAACCCTTTGCAAAACCTCGAAGAAGGAGGACGTTAGTGCCACAGCACTAAAAACACTCCTGGAACGGACACGAGTACTCGGGGAACAGGCTCGCACCCTCGGCATTAGCGATGAAA